GTTGATAACAATCTCTTACCTTTGTTAAGTACCAAAGAAAAAATGCTCTGTTTCCTACACACCAACATGCAATTGATAAAAAGGGCATGGGGTCCCATCAGAGTACTTCTATATGTTGGGAGGGAACAAACAAGACAATGGAGCCCCTTTAACCAAAAAGTGGAAGTGATTTCCCATCACTCCCTCTGAAAAGACAATGGCAGATTCAATAGGGCACAGGCTATGGACCACCTTCAAAGGGAGAGTGCAATGCAGTAAAGTTAGCATTTCAATGAATCTGTAATAAGTGCAAGCTTTAGGTCCAGCCCACAGAAAAGCCAGTGAAAAGACTGAAGACGACTGTTTGAGATGGGGGAATTGCACAGACTTGTTACCAGTCTATTCCAAACCTTTTGTTTTGCATGTTAGATTTAAGGCTCAGTATTTCCACAGGAGTAATCACTGGCAGTAAAGAACGGCAATTTAAAAAACTTGCTTGTGTCCCAAAAATGAATTAATTCCACAAAAACTGGGGCACAATATCCCCTGGTATTAACTATTCCCCGAACCGAACCAATCGATCTCTTTCTTAAAATTTGAAATGGCAATATCTATCATATTTTGATGCACTTCTTTTTGTACAGACTATGAATGAAGGTGTTAGGATAGCAGGGGGAAAAATCAGACATGTAATTCGCTGCCCTGAATTACTTTTTGGCCATTACTAATCTTTATTGCTTGTGGTCACAGTGCTGACCTCACCATGAACTCTGCCGGTTTTATTGCACCTGTGGCTCTATAACTCAGGAGTGAAGAGAGATATGTACAATATCAAATGTAGAGTGATCACGCCTTTTAAAGATACTGGTCAAGGAATCCTTTAAGTACTTGTTACAGTGAATATCGGGTCAAATCACAGACTTCAGTGTGAGTGTGAAGCAATAGTGTCAGGAATCTTGGTTGCTCAAATATACTTTAGGGAGTAATTAGTCTATCTAAACTTGGGCCTATTTATAAGTGTTCAATGGTGTGTTGAGCAAAAAAGAACACAAAAAAACCAAATGTGATAATAAGAGAAAGGAATGATAACTTATGATACCTTTTAACACTCACGTGTGGAAAGTTTTTGTTTTGTTTTTTAAATTAAAATCAGATTTAAATGTAGATTTGCACTTTCCCAGATAGAAGCTTTGCATCAGTCTGACTGTGATATATACGTGTGATTTGGTGATTTGAACCAAAGCCATCCGCATGACTTCTTCAGAGGAGGAAACGCAGAACAAGTCTGAGTGTAAAGAGATGACTCTAGCTACAACAAGCAGTAGTCAAAGTACCAGAGTCTCATGTCAGCACATGCACAACGTTGCTGCTGTACCAGCTGAGGTGCAGCTGTGTTTGGATTTGGCTCTTCTGTCCGACATGAAGCGACATTGGGCATGAAAGCACAGCACTCTACAGCCAAGAACCACAGAGTATCATGAAAAGACATTAGTAAGTGTCTGTGTGAAGTTGTGCCCAGAGGATAGGGTGGAATAAAACACCCTTGTAAATTTTATCAACCTAAGGGTTTGAAGCAACTTTTGCAGCATAAATTTGTATTTCAGAACACAAAATATACTTGATACTAACATTTTTAATAAAATACACAAACCAGATTCTAGGAATAACACGATAATAATAACCTACATTTACTGCAAACCAAAGGTTTAAAAAAAATCCCAAACAAAGTGGCTAACTTCAGATGTGCGGTGAGATTAACCTGTAGATTGATAAAAGAGTATGCCAAAATTTTCAGCATATTTTAGGTTGTTGTCATCTGTAGATGCCAATAGGAAAAAGCTCCCTCAAAGGGAAATGCTAAACAGAGAGGCGAACATTAAAGCCACGGGAGAAACTTTAAAAAGCATCGCAAACAGGGTGATTTTAAATGGGTAAAAAGTCAATGAAAAACTAAAATGCTGCAAGCTTTAGACCAGATAGTCAAGACACATCAGATGTAATTTCATTACATAAAAGCAGGTCTACAGGAATGAGTGTTAGGAAGGGATTTTAAGGAATTCACTGATTCTGCAAGACTGAGCTCATTAAACAAGTTACAAAGCCAAAGGGTCCTGATAGCAAAATCATAGTTCATGAAATATTTCAGAGTAATTGTAAATGTAAAGGCTGTGATGCATGTCTGTTCAACCTGTAATTATCTATAGACTCGATGAAAACCCTCACAGAGAAGCAAATCTTCTCTGTGAGGTGGAAAAGCAGCAAAGGACGTGTCAGGCCAATGAAAAGGTTATAGCAAAGCAGCATGACTGATTGTGAAGACAAACACGTGAAAAGTTCAGGTAGCAGTGGCTAATGTAGGCTATGAATAAATAATGAGGAACTCTGCTGAACTGTGAAACAGAGCCAGGTTCGGAGTCCTCGCCTCTTGACCTCTATACCGTTCCAAGTCACACTTCGCTGCAGAGTCAACAAATGCCAGCTTCCTGGCCTGCTCTCCATATGTGCCAATGTGCTTGAGGGTGGGGTGGGCCAATTTAGTGCAGTATTGTCCCATCAACCAAGATGGCCTCTCTCCTGGGACTATAATTCAACAATGCAGTGTTTACCAAACCTAGTCTTCAAGCAATTATGTGAATGTGTCCAGGGGGCAGGCTTTCCCTACTGTTCAAACTATGGAGTGGAGTTGGTGTTTGCACTGCTGTGCTTTTCAACTCCCCAGAGTCCTCATTGATTCTGAATGGGAATTAAACACCAGGTAGCTGGATCTGAAATGACAAAGCACCACACAGACGGCCGACCACTTCACCAAGTCTGCATGGCACAAACTGACTACACCATCGAATCAAACTGTCACTGCATAATATTTAGTAGGGGGATGAAGGGGTCGAGTTACACGCAGCAGAAAAAGACAACAATTCAGACCAATGACACACACACACTTCAGACTATGTAGTCATAGCGATCCAAGCTGCCCTTCCCCTGCCGCCCCGAATGAAGTCAAGGAACACTTATGACAGTCTATACTGGGAGAAATTTCAGTACCAAAATTGTCAGTGGTAATGTCACGGTTAGTCTGATGTCATACCCCCAGAAAGCCAAGTGACCTCCCTAGCTTACATATGCTTAAGAAAGACATAATGAAAAAAACAGTCATCATTTGTTTCTTATTAAATATGAAGCTGTGTCGATGTTTGGTTCGCACAATTCTTCACACTTTTACTGCTGCTTGTTCACAGTGGGATATGGGTACTCTTTTTTATTTATTTAATGGATAACTCTCACCCACTGAGTTTTTATTGACTTTGATTGTCTTGAGCTGTTGCGCATGAAGCTGACATTCCAGCACGAAGGAAGGAGGATCTCGTAGTAACACCAGTACGCGCGTGTGCTTAATTGAATCAAGAGACAGTTCGCCTGCTGCAGTTCAAAAGCATAATACCAGAAACAGATGTTGTTTGCGGTTACAGATAATTCAATTATACTGGTGTTGTTGGCCTAACAGTCAGCCAAGGCTGTGGTAAAAGTGTAGAGGCCATCTCATGTTACCTTTCAGTGACAGAACACAACAGGTGATAATAGCCCTCTGGAGCTGACTTCTATAGATCGATGATATTGAACATACATAACTTATGGTGACACTGAAGACACACGCGATACATGTTCGGCCACTCCAAAGAAAAGCTCAGTGCTCAATAGCATGGCATCACCGGATGTAAAATATATCTTAAAGTCATGAAAACTTCAACACTAGAGCTTTTCAAACGTCAAGCGTACCACTGCTCACACACCAAGTCCAGCATGTGAAAGATTTATGTCTGCGGACCTGTGCAACTATGTCCCATCATTCAAAAAGGATTTGGTTTAGATCAAATCAACTCAGAGATGTCACAGATATTTCAATCGTGACAGCTCTGTTTATTGGAGGGCATAAAGGTGAGACACCAGACGGGATTTGCAAAGGGTGGGGGCAGTCTATTCTCAGCCGCCCGGTAACGGTCATCCTCTATATGATTCACAGCGCAGACACAGAGGTAAGAAGACAAACAATATCTTAGGCTGCAATATCAGTAATTAATCAAACAAATATATTCAACACTGTGTGGACTGTACACTCTTTTGTTAGTTAGTTACCAAGCAAAAATATTTCAACTTCATATTTGTTCCATTCATTTGTTGTTTGCTCTCAATTGGACATAATGAGCAACACCAAGCCAGTTTTACATCCTAAAAACTGGATCGAGTAAATAAATGAACAAATATTCAATAAAGATAACTGCTGGCTGCTGCCTTAAGTGAAAACAGACATAGGTAAGAAATTCTCAGTACAGCACATTTTTGTACCTGCAGTCGCTCTTGAATGCACGTCAATGGTAATGTTGAGGTGAATGCATTTCTTTTTCCTTTTGAATAACATTACTGAAAACTCAAGCCATCACCCTCAAGCGACCTGCATCTTTTATTCTCAAGAATTTCAGGCTCTCCAGGACAGAATAAAACACTCAGCCTAAATGTGAGAAGACACAAACTACCAACTACCACAGAATTCTGTTATTTCCGGTTTTTTTAATCATTGTCAAACATTGCATATCTTTGTTATAACAGAAAGCCTAGGCCACGCAAAATGGAGCCTCACAAAGTTTAAGAAGGTTTAGGAGTTGAGTACTCCAGGGAGACTATGAATAGCTTGTTTCTATGGACAAACTTAGCCCGGCTCGGAGCCTCTAGTTTGTCATATTACTTCTAAAAGCATCTTTACAGTTCATGCTGACTGGATTCAGTTATACAGCCCACCTGCATGTGAGCAACCCGTCGCCACACCATTTACCCACAATCAACACTACTATCAACATATGACCTTTTAATAGGATACAAAGACACTGCTTCTTAACCTTAACTTGATTTTGGGGAGTGGAATAAATTGTTTGTATATTTGAGTTATGTAAGCAACTAATAAATAAAGTCGCCAGTGGGGAGTTTAAAAGTAAAATGAAAGCGTAAAGAGAAAGTTTGAGCTCACTTACAGTAAAAAGCTGCGATGTGAGTATGAAAGAGAGGATAAGTCCACAGATCGAAGTGGTCAGAGTGCCCATTTTCCACCGACCCAGCACAGGCTGTAAATGCTGGGGGAAAGGGGGGAATACGAGGGTCCTTCACGCCTCCTGGCCACTGGAACGGTGCACCTATTTCAGACTTTTCTTCTAGAAACCCGACTGCTCCGCTGCGTCCCACGCCCGGTGGGACTTCATCAACAGGTAAAACGGATCCCTTCTCGTGTTTTTCTCTCTTTTTCTTTTCAAAAAGATTACGCAAATAAAAAAGATCGACACTATGGGGCTTCTTCTCCCTTGCACTCCGAAACTTGGGACTTGTGGTGGGTTGAATGCAGCCTTGCAAAGTCAATGGGAAGTCCTGTGCGGAGAGTGCGCTGCCGAAAAGTAAAAGGCGGAATGGAATTCATGGAGTGCTCAAAGAGAGCACAAGTAATACCACTGTGGGGAGACGTCGCCGAGAATAAAGTGTGTGGTGGTGGTGAAGGACGTTTTTAAGTCTTTACTCGAACAAAAGTAGCAAAGCACCACTGTTCCAATACTTTAGTATCCTGCAACTAAAAATCCAAAAGTATTCCGGGTAATCTGTAAGAGTGCAGAAATTACTTGATTTCCAAAAGAACGAATTCGGCACAGTGGCTCAGTGACAGGCTTTGATACTGAAGTGGAATTTTGAATGGGTAATTGTAGGACTGATTTGATCAATTGTTGGAAAATTCAGTTAAAATGTAATTAAAAAAATGAAATTCTAAAGTACATTAAAACTGTTTACTGACCATTTGATTCGTGTTTAAATGAGGACAAGTGGAACAGCGTAGTTAATTATTATTTTATTATAACACATATGAGTTACTTTTTGTTTATTTTTAAACTAGCTACACATCTGAATTATCCAGAAATAAGTAACAAGTTTCAGGAACAACACCTAACCTAAAGGGATCTGTTATTTGTCTTTACCTACTGGGGGACATGCTAGTGCTTCACTTTTCATGTCCTCGGGGACACACACACACACATCACACACACACACACACATCACACACACACACCACATATATAGTTATATATATGACTAAATTAATATATAATATATAATATTTATATATTATATAATATATATAACCACACACAACACACACACACACACACATATATATAATATATATATATATAATATATATATATATATAATATATATATATATATATATATATATACTATATAATATATATATATAATATATATATATAATATATATATATATATATATAGTATAATATATTTAGCAGTGGCATCCTGTAACAAATTCAAGTCACTCAATATTTACTGACAACAGTAAAAGCAATGAAGAGTGCCAATCTGTTTGCAGTCAGGACTGGTTCAATTGGTTTGAAAATAAAAGTGTTGCTGCAGAGTTTATGAAAATATGTCGCTTCAGTTCTTGGCAATATATTTGGGCATTTGTTGCCCTCTACTGGAGTTCTAAAGTGCAGCACACCGACTTCCCAGTGCAGAGATACCCCCACAACCATTTAACTGCCTTGCGTTGCTGTGTGCTGTGTCACTGGAGACACGTCCCAAATATAAGCTTGTTTGTCAGGACTGAAGTCAGTAGCTGTTTGAAGGACTGGATGTCTGCATCCAACCATTTAAAAGAGTGATACTTTATCACTCTGAGGTTTGAGAGGGCAGCTGTTGCCAATTAAAAGCTAAACTCTGAAGAGAGAGTTATGGGCTGCTCCAGTTTGCTCATGAAAATAAACTAAAAGTAGATGAACAAAATGGGCTCATCATGTTTGGTTGGCATCTAGCGAATTTGACACCTCTGAGCTCCCATCCAGTCGAATCATTTACTCTACAAAAGCAGTCTTCTAAAAAATCTATTCTGTGTCTCATCTTGGAATATCAAAAAGATGTCAAAAGAAAACAAAACAAGGTGTGGAAGGGTAGATACACCAGAGACCTCACAGTAGAGCCAGCCGCGCCTAATCACACGTTTGAGACACATGCAAGGAGGGACAAGGGATTTAAGTTGTTTTATGTTGTCAGAGGTCGCATACCAAAAGTGTTGGAAACACTGCTGAAAGTTATGATAAACTTCCAAACTTTTACTCAGTGAACTCTTTTATTATACTGTAATACCACAAACATCACCATTACATAAACTAAATGCTACAGCATAGAGGATAAATAACACCTAAACTGCTGCAGTTATTCCAAGAGCAGGAATTTGTACCAGTGCTCTATAGACCCCTCTAGCCTCTTGGATACAAGAGGGAGCTTATTTCTGGGTCTGACTGGTCTGACTATGAATGTTTATAAGAGGCATCTCACTGACCACAGTGGTGTGATTTAGGGACTACTCCCTTGCTTGCAGTCAGCAGAAAAGTTCTGGAAAAATCATGTGAAAAAGTTAAGTAAAAAATGTCTTAACCCATTATTATAGGCCTCAAAGTCAACTTAACTTTCAACAAACTGTTTAGAATAGTTGTCTGTTTTGTGGCCGTGTTGGAAACGCCAAACGAGTCCTCTGTGAATTCCGAACGTGTGTTGGTGTTCAATAAAGTACTGTTTCAGCAGCATGTTTATGAAGCATAATGCCAGGAGTATATATACGTTGTATGTAATTTCATGCCTTTGAGAGTTTTATTTTGTAGTTGGAGAAGTAAATAAACAATGGATTGAAAACTATTCAGAAGTTAAGATCAAGTCTCTCTTTTTTTTTGTGTCCGACCCTTTAAAACCTGTAGCTTAGCAGTGTTGTTTGTTACTATGTATTGTGATATTACTGTAACTGTGATACAGTGAAGCTGGACTGTTCAGCTGCAGAAAGCAGCTGCCAAAAACCAACAGACCAGCCAGAAAAAATGAAATGATTCCTCTCTCAGCAAGGGTCAACGCCCCTTGGAGCCTGATGCAAATGAAGTTATGCTGAAAGAAGTTGGAGCACACATAGGATGCTCGTCCCAATCTTTTTCATTTCATCATAATATGTATGTCATATCTTTCCCTGCCCTCTGCTTCGATTGCACCAGATAAGTCCCAAGCAGTGTTTTGTTAAAAAAATGCTGTTGGTAAATTAGAAAGATGGGAAATGAGAGTAACTCCAGAGTCACTTTGCAGATTACAAGTTGATTATCCGCATGTATAAAGCTACATGTCACAAAGACATCAAGACTTTATATAGTAAATATTTTGCTAAGAGAACTCAAGTTCATTTCAAAAATGACAAAATATTAAAAGAAGTAAACAAGCAATAAGTAAAAACATATATTGCAACTCTGATAATCCTACAAAATTACAGTCTGTAGATAGATAGATATTTTTATATTGTCTGTTTTACCCTTTTATTATTTGTTATCTTATGTGCAGCACTTTGTGATTCTGTCTAGAAAGGTGCCTAAATAACCAAATAAAATTGCGCAATAGAGGTATATGGTTACAAGGTAGATATAACATGCATAATATATAATATATATATTACTCACCTCAAATAAGTAGAACCGTATAAATAATAAGTAATATAACAATATACTATGGATAATAGCATTTATATATATACAATATTATATAACATATTCATATTAATAAATATACTCACATGACTACTTAATATAGGATATAACCTAGATAAATCAGGAAAGTGATCGATATTTGACACTACTGCAATACCATATAGTATATAAGTATATACATATATATAAATATTTATACATACATATACATATACATACATACATATACATATACAATACATAATGTTAGATTTTTTATGGAGAGTACGATAGTACATCACTCAATAATCTAAAATGTAGATATAAGATATAATATAGATTATGCTATAAACATATAAGATTACTAGTAGTAGGATTAGTGTTGTAAATAGTAAATAGATGTCACTCGTATATGACATATAATATATAATAGATAGGCTATAGATTATACAATTTATGGGGCAATAGCATAGATCTGTATGTATATAATATAGTATGCATCGCATATGTATAATATAAATAATATAAGTTAGGATGGAGAGAGTGTATAAAAACATAATATAAAGAGACCTCACACACGGTTAATAAAATACTATATATATAGTAGATATGTAATATATCATAGTTATTATTTATATATTATATATATATATACTTATATTATATATATAGTGTTATATGTATATATATTAAATGTAAACTCGTAATATTTATGGGGTCTTATCGTTAAAAAAAAGAAGTGTGAAAGGTGTATAGAAATAATAGATACTAAGATAGAATAATACTTATATATGAATAATACACTATAGATATATATATGTATAGAAACAAAAAAACATTATCTATATAGTATATTATACAGTGGGGCAAAAAAGTATTTAGTCAGCCACCGATTGTGCAAGTTCCCCCACTTAAAATGATGACAGAGGTCAGTAATTTGCACCAGAGGTACACTTCAACTGTGAGAGACAGAATGTGAAAAAAAAATCCATGAATCCACATGGTAGGATTTGTAAAGAATTTATTCGTAAATCAGGGTGGAAAATAAGTATTTGGTCAATAACAAAAATACAACTCAATACTTTGTAACATAACCTTTGTTGGCAATAACAGAGGTCAAACGTTTACTATAGGTCTTTACCAGGTTTGCACACACAGTAGCTGGTATTTTGGCCCATTCCTCCATGCAGATCTTCTCGAGAGCAGTGATGTTTTGGGGCTGTCGCCGAGCAACACGGACTTTCAACTCCCGCCACAGATTTTCTATGGGGTTGAGGTCTGGAGACTGGCTAGGCCACTCCAGGACTTTCAAATGCTTCTTACGGAGCCACTCCTTTGTTGCCCGGGCGGTGTGTTTTGGATCATTGTCATGTTGGAAGACCCAGCCTCGTTTCATCTTCAAAGTTCTCACTGATGGAAGGAGGTTTTGGCTCAAAATCTCACGATACATGGCCCCATTCATTCTGTCCTTAACACGGATCAGTCGTCCTGTCCCCTTGGCAGAAAAACAGCCCCATAGCATGATGTTTCCACCCCCATGCTTCACAGTAGGTATGGTGTTCTTGGGATGCAACTCAGTATTCTTCTTCCTCCAAACACGACGGTTGAGTTTATACCAAAAAGTTCTACTTTGGTTTCATCTGACCACATGACATTCTCCCAATCCTCTGCTGTATCATCCATGTGCTCTCTGGCAAACTTCAGACGGGCCTGGACATGCACTGGCTTCAGCAGCGGAACACGTCTGGCACTGCGGGATTTGATTCCCTGCCGTTGTAGTGTGTTACTGATGGTGACCTTTGTTACTTTGGTCCCAGCTCTCTGCAGGTCATTCACCAGGTCCCCCCATGTGGTTCTGGGATCTTTGCTCACCGTTCTCATGATCATTTTGACCCCACGGGATGAGATCTTGCGTGGAGCCCCAGATCGAGGGAGATTATCAGTGGTCTTGTATGTCTTCCATTTTCTGATGATTGCTCCCACAGTTGATTTTTTCACACCAAGCTGCTTGCCTATTGTAGATTC